TTTTGTGCAAGTTAGTCGAAGAAAAAACCCCAATCGCGAAGGAGAATTGGTAGAACCGCTGCACCTGGAGACTCTTCGTCGGTAGGTTCAGTTTTTTTATTTTTCTGGCTAGCTGAGACTTCCTAACATATTTTTGCAGGGATACGTGTAAAACTGGCCTAAATTGGTCAGGTCGAGGCGAACCGCCACCGTGGGCGATAGAGCCGGCACCGGAGCGTGACGACACCCTAAAATTGGTCAGAAATGGATTTTTAACACTAATTTTGGATTTTTAAGGTATTTTTAGGTACGTGACTAGTATTTTGATTTTTACATGAAAATTTTAGAAAATCTGGGGCTCGTTAGGAGGCGTAATGGGTTGCATAGCATTTTGAAACATCGATTTGGATGAGGGTCTCTCACCCTACTCTCTTTTATGATAAATTGAGGCTCAAAAATTAATAATTTTATGTTTTGTAAAAATTAGAAAAATTCTAATAATAATTACAGGTCATCAGTAGAAGTAGAACTGGTTAGTGTATAATTGTCCTAGTTTATTATTCATTTTCTCTTATATTGCTTAAAATATTTACTATTGAATTATGTGTATTAAATTGCTAATTTGAACTGTATCCTCGGTTATCTGGTTTATTTGGTTCCCTCTGCACTGTTTATTTATTTATTTGGTTATTTAGTTACCCGGTTATTATAAACTGTATTGATTGCTTAGATACCTTTTAGGTTAATCTATAAATACGTAATGAGGCATTGGTATGTGATTAATGATTGTTGGGATGATGAGGATCTTTATATGTGAAAACTTAGTAGGTATCTTAGAAAATGGTGGACGGACCTGGTACATAAAAAACTCTACTGTGGATATTACCTCAGTTGGACGGGGATGAGAAGTCTCATATTGAAAAGTTTTGGAAGATATAGTTCACCCTCATATCCGACGGAGTATTGAGGTGGTATGTTTGGCGCCCATCACCGAACGGGGTATGGAGACGGTCGGGTTAATTGTCAATTCAGATCTTGGGTTCACGAGTAAGGTGGTATCCCTATGGACCCCTAGTAAATAGGTTAAAAAGAAGAATTACGGATCTTATGTATGAAATTAAAAGTCATTTGATTACTTGTTTTCGTAGGTTGACTTTGAAAAATTCGTAATGATAAGTATAGAATAAACATTTTAATGTTAAATGTATTTACTTAAATGAAGGGTTTCATTGGTTATTTTGTAATTTTTATCAACATTCGATTTTTCATATCAGTAATTAGTGTGATATCTTTATTAGATTAATGTAGCTCATCATTTTATTAATTATTTCATATTAAGAAGACCAAAATTCAAATTCCAATCAGTAAGAAGGTTGTGAGTAGTTCACATCCCGGACTCTCTTGAAGTGCTAGTGGAGGTTAATTCCCTATGATATTTATTTATTTTTTAATTATCACTTGTCTTTTTTTTATGAACCAATGCAGATGGGACATTCTTAAATTTCTATTAGGCATTCCAATTTACTGTGTAAGGAATGTAAATCATAACTTTATTGTTCGTTTCCATATTTAGATAATAAATTATTTTCTTTTAGTTTGGATTTTTATAAAATTATATTGTAATTCTATTAAAAATTGACCAAGAATTATCATTCAAAATTTCTTAATTTATTGACTTCTTATAATTATTTTGGTGATTACAAATAACATTTAATTAGAAAATATTATTTCACCATAAAAAATAGAAACCAAAATTTTAGGACTGAGTCCTCCTATACGTAAGCTCAAGAGCATATTGCTTATCAAACATAATACTTTCATCTAAAATTGGTGTTTCTAATCCTACCTAAAATTATTTAAGAAAAACTAGTAACATGTTATATAAATTTTTGATGATATTATACGGTAATTAATTATTAAACACTACTAAATAATAATAATAGTAATAATAATTGGTGTACAAATGTGTCATAAACTAATTCCTATTACATATATATTACAAATAAATTATTTATCATTCATCATAAATTCACGAGTATTTAATCTAAAAATGTATAGATTATTATTTAATTAAAATTTATAATCTATTAAAAGTGTGTTATTAAAAATATGTTAAAATGTAGTTTTGGATGTAATTAGACTAAATTATTATATTATTTAAATTTATTAAAATTTACATTAATTTTTTATAATATTAAATTATAAATTTGACGATCCACACATTTCAATACAAATTTATAATAAGAAGATTTAATATAGAAAATAAGTTAGAGTTAAATACTTTTATTCACTCTCGTATATATAATTTATTTTATTGATAGTCTATCATTTAACAATTGAGAGAAGAATAAGAAAGAATTAACTTTAACTATAATTTTTTTACGTTATTATTAAAAATATGCTATACTATTTTAGTTAACTATTTGTATTTTATACATACTATGTAATTATTTTATATTCTAAATTTATATATTAAATATCAAAGTTTAGATCTAAGTAATTGAAATCTCGTTTGAAAATTAAAAAAATAATAATAATAATCGTGCTGAGTACCCGTGCATTTAGAAAATAACAGCATTAGATTAATCAGGAAGTCAAGCAGTGGAAAGATAAACAAAAGCAAAAAAAAAGGACAAGTGGAAGAGGAGTTTCTCAGTTTTGGGCAATGCACGTCAAAAATTGCCAAGCAGATAGAGAAAAGCAAAAGCCACTAACGTGCGCCGGGTAAAGTTGGTGACACATTTTCAAACGGTGTCGTTGAATGAATCCCAAATCAACTTTTTCCTTTTATATTTGAATGTGACTAAGCAATTTTTGGAGACCATCATCCATCATGTACCCGTATAATATCCCATCCCAATTTATTTAACAATCATAATGTGTCTAAGCCAAAATTCCAAGCGCTCAATTGCGTGTGGAACAAAAATTAATAGTTATATAGAATTTGTTTACAATCCACACAAAATATAAGTTTTAACAAGTCTAAAACTCATTCTAATTTTACATAGAAATTCAAAGCTTTTACAATAAATTTACAACTCATTGTGATCAATAATGAACAACGTTGAAAAAACAAAAAAACAAAAAAAGAAAGAAGGAGAAGATGGAGATGAGACATTTTGCCTTGTATGTTGTTGGACGTGACCTCTTTTGGAGCTGCCTTTGAAGGCATATTAATTATGTGAAAATGCGATTTAACACCACTTGTAAAAATGACACATACCCAATTTCAATTTCCAAATTCATTTATTACCCACCTAGCATATGCTTTAAAAGGGTTTTAAGATATTGATGTCACGTGCGCATCCCAAAATTTATGGTTGTAATGTTTTTTTACGAATAGAAATTATATTACATAAACATATATGTATATATATATTTAAAATATTTATCCTCATTGGCGTATGAGACAGAGCTCCTAATCTACCCTCCTCCATACTTACTTTCGTTACTTCATTTTCATGTTTTATGAGATAATTATAATTTTGAGTCATTTCCATTAAATTTATTTATTTATGAAGAGCATCCAAAAAAACAAAAAAGAGAAAAGTCGAAACCAATTTCATTACCAATTAAAGATGGTGACGTACTTACTACACGACAAAATTGACATATGATGATGGTGCTGACTCATTCGTTTGAGAAATGTTATCAGAATTTGGACTCACAAGGGAGGAGTATGGTAGAATATTTATTAATAATTAATAATTTATTTTATTTTATTTTAATTATCAATTATTAATTACCAGTCTCATCAGTAATTTTCATCATAAATGCCTGCGATAATGCTCTTTAAAAAGCCACCTAAAATTATATGATAACTTTTATATATATTTTACAAAAACATTAAAAATTAGAGTTAAATTCCCCCCACTTTTTTTTTTTTTTTTTTTTTTTTCAAGAATTCCAAAGCATAAAAACACTAATATTTAATTTCCTCTTATAAAAAAACAACTATTATTTAAATCGTGAGTTAAAACTTAGTGTAACCGTCAAAAATCATATAAAACTTCATTATATATTAAAGTCAGAAAAGACATTTAATCATGACATAACTTGAACAAACTTTGTTCTACAAATTATATACTTTATCTTTAAATTATAGAGAAACATGACTCAAATATGGTTTGATGTAAAATGAAGACTGTATGGATAGAGCGTGAGTGGTAGTTGGGTAGTTCTATTGTGGATTACAGCGGCAATAGAAGATCGTGTTCAGTTCAAAAAAATTTAATTGAGTAGCGATACAATTATCTGACATATTAAATTGTGGTAGTTTTTAATTATTAATTTTTGTAATAAATTTTTATTTTTTATTCGTATATATTATTAAATAAATTCATTTAAATTGTGTAAAATATTAATTTTGAATTTTAATTTTAATATAATTAATTGACCAAACTATTATATTAAAAATAATTGAGAGATATAAAAACGTTAATCTTTTATCAATTAAATGATAATTTTTAACACTTGGACTTGTTTTGGATTATTAAGGAGCAACGTAATACTTTTACGTCTAATAAAAGTTTATTTAAGGTTATTTAATCTTGAGATAATGTCAACTTAAAACACATTTTTAAGTGTCCGCAAGAACAGTAAACGACGGCGTATTTACCACAAACAGTACCAGCAGCGCAGACGGACTTTTACTTTTATTATTCGTAGTGTAGAATGAATCGACGAGGAGCAAGCGGAAGTAACTTAATTTACATACATGTACAGAGACATGTATAAGATTTACCACTTAAATCGATGTGGGATAAATAACTTAAAGCCCAACGTATTCATGAGTCCCAGGTTCAGGAACTTAGCAATCAGGATTAAGATACCAAGTTAAAATTGAATTATTGCTTTTTCTTACAATGTTCAGCTTATAAGCCACATAAAAGAAACTAATTAAACACAAGTGTTAGTAAAAGCCCACATAGGAAAATTGTAGGCCCGGTTAAGCCCATTCCTGACACAGTTGAACAAAAGTGCAGGCTTCTGCATTAAACAACAAATCATTACAGAAGAGACACGAGAAATGAGGACGATCAAAAATTCAATGAATCAGCTAAAAAAAAATTTAAAGCTTCCTGCTAAACTTCCTCGATTTGTTTCATAGCTGAGACCCCATCTTCTGTATTGAATACAAATCTCATACTTCATCATTCATGTCATCTTTTCTCGAATAGAAAGACCCAGAAACCCCAAGCTTCAATGGCAATTTAGCTATTGGATAGAACAGAATTTCATCGTCCGCTCCAACTTCATTTTCCTCTAATGGCGTCAACTTCGCTCATGGAAACCCTCTTCCAGCGCACCATCGAGGACCTCATCAAGGGGCTCCGCCTGCAACTCGTCGGCGAATCCATCTTCATTTCCAAAGCCCTCGACGAAATCCGGCGCGAGATCAAGTCCACCGACCTGCCCACCAAAGCTACTGCTCTCCAAAAGCTCTCCTACCTCAGTTCCCTCTACGGCGTGGATATGTCGTGGGCAGCCTTTCACGCAGTGGAAGTCGTCTCTTCCCCGCGGTTTTCCCACAAGAAGATCGGGTACCATGCCATCTCACAGTCATTCAACGAGCACACCCCTGTAATCCTCCTTATCACCAATCAGCTCCGCAAGGATTTGACGAGTACCAACGAATTTGAGGTGAGTCTTGCTCTCGAATGTTTGTCGATGATTGCAACCGATGATCTTGCTAGGGATTTAACGCCTGAGGTTTTTACCTTGTTAAGCAGTAGTAAGGTTTTAATTAGGAAGAAAGCAATTGCTGTGGTTCTGACGGTTTTTGGGAAATGCCCAGATGCCGTCAGGGTTTGTTTCAAGCGTCTAGTGGATAATTTAGAAAATTCTGATCCGCAGACTGTGTCTGCGACTGTTGGGGTGTTTTGTGAACTTACTACGAAAGAACCCAGATCGTATCTTCCATTAGCGCCGGAATTTTATAAGATTTTAGTTGATTCCAGGCACAATTGGGTTCTGATTAAGGTGCTTAAGATCTTTGCAAAGTTGGCTCCGTTAGAACCAAGGTTAGCCAAGCGAATTGTTGAGCCAATTTGTGAGCATATGAAAAGGACTGGAGCTAAGTCTTTGTTGTTTGAGTGCATTAGGACTGTAGTAAGTAGCTTGAGTGAATATGAATCGGCTGTGAAATCTACGGTGCCAAGGATTAGGGAGTTTTTGGTGGATGATGACCCAAATCTTAAGTATCTTGGATTACACGCATTGGCAATCGTTGCCCCAAAGCATTTGTCTGCCGTGTTGGAGAATAAGGAGGTTGTAATTAAGTCCTTGAGTGATGAAGATCCTAATATCAAACTTGAGTCTTTAAGGCTAGTGATGTCAATGGTTTCTGAAGACAATGTGGCTGAAATTGCCAGAGTTTTGATCAATTATGCACTTAAATCTGATCCCCAGTTTTGTAATGAGATTCTTGGTTCCATTTTATTGACGTGTTCTGGAAATTTATATGAGATTATTGTCGACTTTGATTGGTATGTCTCTCTTCTTGGGGAAATTTCAAGAATCCCTCATTGCCAGAAAGGTGAAGAAATTGAGAATCAGCTAATTGATATTGGTCTGCGGGTAAAGGATGTTAGACCACAGCTTGTTCATGTTGGTCGGAGTTTGCTTATTGATCCTGCATTGCTTGGTAATCCATTCTTTCATAGAACGTTATCTGCTGCAGCTTGGGTGTCTGGGGAGTATGTCGAGTTCTTGAGGGATCCATTGGAACTCATGGAAGCACTATTGCAACCCCGTACCAGTCTCCTGCCTCCATCAATAAGAGCTGTATACATCCAGTCCATTTTTAAAGTTTTGATATTTTGTTTGAATTGTTACTTCTCTCAAGGAAATGGTGCTGCTTCCTCTTCAAATCATGATGCTTTGGGTCCAGAAGTCTCAGAACTGACCTCTAGGGAATGCGGGGAAAGTTGTGATTTAGGCAAGTCCGAGTTGGATGAAACATTCAACCCAAGGGTTCTTGACCAATCACTTGGAGGTCTTTCTGCAGAAAAGAGTTGTTTCGTGCCCAATTCTCATGTCCAGACATCCACATCAGCTTCTCTAGGGAAGCACAATTTCACACATGAATCTATTGTTAACTTACTAGATCTAGTTGAATTGTGTTTGGATCCGTTATCTGGAAGCCATGATGTGGAAATACAGGAGAGAGCAAGGAATGTACTTGGTTTTATTTATCTGATAAAGCAAGAAATACTTAAGTTCCAAAATGAAGGAGCTATAGAAAGGGGAGATTTGGAAGCTTCCAGAAGAGCAATTGAACTGGTGCATGATGCCTTCTCTGAGGATCTTGGGCCTGTCTCAGTAAGTGCTCAGGGAAGAGTTCCTTTGCCAGATGGCTTAATCCTCAAGGAGGATCTTGGTGACCTGGAAACAATCTGTGCTGATATCCCTCTGCCTTCGTCTAATTCATTTTATTTTGGAAGTGCTAACAATGGGGAAGATGCTGGTATTTCTCTCTCTAACCTTGACATCAAAGAAGAGTTGGAACCTTCAAATGAGTCAACGTCTCTGCTAGCAGAACACCGTAAGCGACATGGGTTGTATTATCTACCCTCAGAGAAGGGAGGAATTGCTTCAAATGATTATCCTCCTGCAAATGACCCAAAATTATCTGAAGGTCTTAATGATGCAAATGATCTAGTTAAGCTTGCAGAGCAGTCATTTGTTCCAAAGAAGAGATCAAATCATGTGAAGCCTAGGCCTGTGGTAGTGAAATTGGATGAAGGAGACGGAATGCCCATGGTGTCTAAGAAGCCAGAGCTTAAGGATGATCTACTATCTGGTGCTGTGCGCGATGTTCTTTTAGGCAATGAAGATGAATCCACATCATCACGAAATAATCCATTTGGTAAGCCACCCAGCAAGAAAAAAGGGAAGGAAAAACAAAACATGGATAATCATTTGGAAGCTAAAGAAAATTTGGGTGATACAGATAAAGCTAATAATGCAAATTCTAGTTCAAGAAGAAGCAAACACCATAATCAGGGTAAAGAGAGAAGACATAAAAAGAAGAATGCTGAGGAAAGAGAAGAAAATGATTCAAAAGAGAAGCAGAAGAGTAGTCACCGCCCCAATAAGCACAAATGTCGACAAAAGGCAGAAAAGTCATTGGATGTTGTTCCACAATCACCAGTAGTTCCTGATCTCCTGTTGTAGCATTAAATATTTTGCATTGCGTTCGCAAGCATATGCTAGAGAGAACTTTGGCGATTTACATGGTTAGTTCCGTTAAAAGATTTTGTTAATCATCTTTATTCTGTGTTTGGGGTTTATGGTTCTTTTTAACTGTGAGGTTGGTGTTACTTACATGGTATATATATATATATATACTGAATGCAATTTTTGTGCAGCAAATTCCAATTGATGTATTTTGTTCCCGAGTTGTTCTTGTGTTCTTTTTCTCTTCCTTCAATTTCTTTTTCACAACATTCAATATCGTTGTGGTTTGTTTTTGCTATGGTTCTTTGATTCCTTGGTTTAACAATCGCGTTGCCAGAGGTTCTGCATGGGATGCGACTTGCTCTAGGGACATTCTACTTCTAGCTGTTGTAGCATGTAGAAAATTGTTTATCCAATAGAATGATGATGATTTGTTGTCACCAGTCAGTAAATAATAAATTGTTACTATCTACAACCATTTGATATTAAGTACATGTTTTATCTGATTTCCCTGTTATGTTGTGTTGTATGCCCTGACTTGTCTGCAAATCAATTTAAGCAATGCTATTTTTGTGCCAGCAATATATGCCAGAGATGATGTTGATCATATATTAAAACCTGCTAGCATTAATCCTATCCCATTGATCAGATAGCAAGTAGTCTTGATCCTAAATTATCTTCTGTTGGTTTGACTAATTTGAGATTCTGTCAACTACACATTGATGAAAATAAGACTGCGTTAATAAAGAAACAAAATAACAAAAAACCAAATGCATTTCATAAAAAGCTTTTGCTGATCTGATGGGCTCAATGTGGATTCGTTGTCAGGCCTTTTTTTCTGCATGTGGTTGCTTGTAATCAAGTTGCAGGAGGCATATTTCAAGAGCTTAGATTAATTGGAGATTGTTTTGTCAATCATTCATTCTTCCTCTTGCTCCTCTAGATTAGATTGTCCGGCAATGATCGTGGTCATCCTTTTGCATGTTGCTAGACACTTTTCTTGTTCGGTTAGGATTACGTTTCTAAGAATTATTTCCGCTATCTTGGATACTGGAGGGAAAAGTTCATGTAATCATTCTCCTGTGTTATGATTAGCATATACCTGCATGTTGAATCTCTGTATGGAGAAGGTGTATGTTTTCAGCTTGATTAGCATATACCTGCATGTTGAATCTCTGTATGGAAAAGGTGTATGTTTTCAGCTTGCTTTCTTTCCTCTGTTGAACTTGAAACCCACCACATGGAATGTGCAAGTCTTAAAGCACAGAGCAGGAATACCAGCTCAAGGAGGCAACCTCAAGCTATCTTCAAGTCAAAATGAGAAAATAATACAAGTGCATTGGAAGTATCATCACATAATTCCACAAGCATTTTTAAAGCTCATTACCTTCATGTTTCAGCTGCTTTCTAGTGAAGGAAACCAGAAACTGATTTTAATGTTGTTGCCTAACCCACTAAATCCGGCTAGTTGATTGACTTTTCATCTTGTAACACCATAATTTTGCTTATGAACCTAACTATATATCATAATAATGTTAATATAATAATATATAAAATTCATCAGCACTAAATTCTTGAATGGTACAGTCAAAGCAGACTAGTTAAGTTCTTATGAGAGTAAGAGATTCAATAATATACTAAACCATGTTCATATTTAGGCACTTGCTCTTGTTAAATCACGTAAACATTTCTCAAGAAAAACTCCACCCAGCTCTCATTTTCTCAAGTATATATGAGCACCATGAGCCAAAAGTAAATTCTCTCTCTCTCTCTCTCTCTCTCTCTCTCTACATATATATATATTTATATATATAATAGAGATGAAAATGGGAAATGAAAAGCAACAATCCTTTTCCCCATTTGCCAAGCACTTCAATTCTTACTCCCACTTAAGCTATGCCCTTCAATCTGTCTTCTTTGTTCTTGGTCTCTCCCTTGGGATCATAATAAGCACATGCTTGAGAAGCTTATTCTCTAACTTAGAACCCACCCTTTTCTCTCTTTTACCACCTTCACCACCGCCGCCATCGGTAGATCAGCCGCCAGCTCCGCTGTCACCACCGCAATCATCGCTGTCTAGCTCTCCGCCAGTGCCGGTTGAGGCGAGGGGAGATCAGCTGCACAACATGGAAGATGAAGAGTTGTTTTGGAGAGCATCAATGGTGCCGCAGATTGGAGAATTCCCATATAAGCGTGTCCCTAAAGTTGCTTTCATGTTCTTGACAAAAGGACCTATGCCTTTAGGACCCTTGTGGGAAATTTTCTTTAAGGGCCATCAAGGCCTTTACTCCATATATCTTCATCCCCATCCTTCATACAATCATTCAGTCCCTCAGGACTCTGTTTTCTACGGAAGAAGGGTTCCAACCAAGGTAACTCTTTTTTTTTTTTTTTGGGTTATTTTTTTACATGCTGTAAGACCTGGTTAATTTAATTCTATTAGTTCAATCTGCAGTTTCAGTTTGAGTTTTTAATGTTGGTTTTTAGTTTTTGGTATTAAAAAATTGGTTTAATCGATATTCTGAGGACTTGTATGAAATATTTTAGAATTTGTCAGGCAAATGAATAAAATTTTGTAAAATATATAACTTCTTTTCAACGTTCAAAAAAATTAAATCTTCTTTTTTTTTTAAAAAAAAATAAAAAATTCCCTTGCGTTCTTTCTCCTCCACCCCGAGAGACACTTCTCTTTCTCATTTCTCTTCACCTTTACGCTATTTTTTCCTTTTATTTTTCTATTTAAAACTAAGGAATTTTTAATTTTAAAAATTATTTTTCGGATCTATATTTCCATGGGTCTTATAATATTGTTTTGTTTATTCAATTTCCAAGTTCAATATTAGGACATAATTATTTGAATGATAATTGTTATAGTGTGATTAAAAATTTTTATAATTGCAGGAAGTGAAATGGGGAACATCCTCAATGATAGATGCAGAGCGACGACTTTTAGCCAATGCCCTTCTCGACTTATCTAACGAAAGATTCATTCTTCTTTCAGAAACTTGCATTCCCTTATTCAACTTCACAACCATCTACAACTACCTCATTAATACCGATCAAACTCACGTAGCTTCTTATGATGATCCAAGAAAAGTTGGTCGTGGTCGATATAACCTTTTGATGTCTCCGGAAATATCTCTATCCCAATGGCGAAAAGGGTCTCAGTGGTTCGAAGTAAATCGTCGAATCGCTATTAAAATTATATCAGACAACAAGTATTACCCTATTTTCACACAATTTTGTCGTCCTCCATGTTATATGGACGAGCACTACATTCCTACGCTTATGAATGTTTTTGGAGTAGTTGAGAATTCTAACAGGACGATCACTTGGGTTGATTGGTCAAAGAGCGGACCCCATCCGGAAAGATTTATCAGGCAGGATGTGTCGGAAGAGTTCTTGGATAGGATCAGGTTTGGGAGCAATTGCAGCTACAATGGCAATGTTACTGATATGTGTTTCTTGTTTGCTAGGAAATTCGTCGCAAATACTCTGCAGCCTTTGTTAAGGATTAGAGGTTTAGTAACATAAGAGATTAACTTAATTTTTGGTTTGATTAATTAGGAACCCATTTTAATTGTCCTCCAATATTAAACAAAATGGGTATAATTTCTTTAGCATACATACATACATACATGTATTGTTGTTACACGTATAAAATATCATATACATAGTAGTTAATTCTAAAAATTATATATTAATTAATTTAATCGATGAAATATTATTCACATAAAATTCTAAATAAGTTTATTATTTTAAATGTACATTTATATGATATCGTAGAGTAATTTAAATTGAAATAAACATATTCTGACTGTACGAAAAATATTAACATAAACCAATTGGGTCAATATTATTGTAACCAAAACTTCTAAGAAAAAAGGCAGATTTTGATTATATATTTTTTAAATTATATTTAAATTTCAATTTATTATTTGATATTATCATTATTTTCTATAATTTAAATAATTTTCTTATTAGTTATTTATTTATAATTTTTGAAACCAAAATTCCACATTAAATAGACTAGTAATCCAAGTTTTTTCAGTTGAATCCGCGGCCCATACAATTCAGCATATATATACATATACACAGCGTCACACAGATCCACTCTCTTTTCCTTTTTTGGGTAAACCACTTTCCTTTTCTAATAAATTCTGAAAATTTAAGTCTTTTAGACTCTGTAATATTACCATATGCATGCACGTTATATATATATAAAAAAAAAACACTAAAATGTGAATTAATGTAAAGTTGGTCTACCCTTTTATTACTCGTGTATATACATATATATATATATATATTAATTTTCTGGATGTTTCATTACCAAATAACCACAAAAGGAATTGAAACCCAAGTTTCCATTACTTCATCTCACCAGCACCCCAAAACTACCGCGTTTAATCCTCCGTCACTCTCAACCAACCCACCTTCATAATCCGCCGTAGCCGCCACCTTAAACAACCATGAAACAATACCCACAACCCTCACCAGTCAAGTTCATCACTTACCAAAGCTTCTTCCTCAACCTCTTAGTCAGCTTCCTCCTCGTCGGCTTCGGTCTCGCCGTTGGTGTTTCCCTCAGTCTTTATCTCAGGGATATCTCCTTGTATTTCCAATCCTATTCCGTTCTCCAACCCTCTCCTCCTCCGCCTCCGCCGCCGCCGATACCGATGCCTCCTCCGCCGGCCGTCGTGGAAAGGGGACGAGAAGGGTTGCGCGAATATCTGAAACCGCCGAAAGCAATGCATGACATGAACGACGAAGAGCTGTTGTGGAGAGCTTCCATGGCGCCGAGGAGAGATACGGCGTCGTATCCGTTCAAACGGACGCCGAAGGTAGCGTTCATGTTCTTGACAAGAGGGCCATTGCCGTTTGCTCCTCTGTGGGAAAAATTCTTTAAAGGTCATCAAGGGTTTTACTCCATTTACGTTCATTCCAGTCCTAATTTCACTGATGACACGCCTCCAGATTCGGTTTTCCATGGAAGAAGAATTCCTAGTAAGGTTAGTCTAAATTTTCATTTTATTTTTTGCATTAATTTTTTTTTTTCGTGTTCTTAGTCATATCAAATAACCACGTCCTTAAATTATACGAAAAAGTAAATTTATTTAGAAAAATTATCTTCCAGTTCAGTTCTTAGTGTTATGAATTTTTAAAATTATCATATTTTTGAAGTAATTTTGATGAACTAAAGAAATTAGGCGAAGGTAATTAATTTTTTTTTTCATCTAATTAGAAAATTTTTGGAAGAGTAATAAATGGAATGTTAAAAAATAATAATTAAGTAATTAATCAGTGAGAATTTAAGGTAAATAAAACGGAGGATTATGAAGTGGCATATTAATAAACGGTAGGTTTAGTAGCTTCTTAACAGCATGATTTAATTTAATTACGTTATGGTAGATTAGTGAGTAATACAGAGTTGCTCTTAACAACTAGTGCTGTTTCTTTCTTTCAATTTTCTTATGAGATATTCCTATGAAACAAATTTCCTAATATATACATGAGGTATTTTATATGCACATATGTTAAATATATATTTTTATATGTGTATAATTATTTTGCAATTAGTACATCAAACAAATATTTTGACCGGCCGAAGTTTGTAGATTGTGATATAAAGATATGGTTTCCTTTACGTAATGTGGTTATATATGTACATGGGTATTTAAAAATTATAATCGGGAGACGTACCCATTGATGTAAATGTAAATGTAAATGTAAATGTAAATTATAATCAATTAGATTTTGAAAAATAATATAAAAGTGATTACTTAAGAATTATGGATGTAATTAGTAATACTCTTATCATCCCATTTCAATTAATTACTTGTTATACAATTTAATTGTATATATATATATATATTTAGAACAAATAAAATTAGCCATGTATGTATTTAACTATATATATATATATATTTTATTACTTTTTAATGCATTGCTTTGATTCTACTCTTTTTCCAACTAATGCCTTTTTTTTGTTTCTGTCTCTGTTACCTTTTCACATTCTAAGTTCCATCTTTTCTGCATTCCTTTCTTCAGTTTCCGTCCAAAAAGAGATCCATTCATATATACTTATTTTTCCCTAAAATAATAAATAATTAACTTAAAATATATTATTTAATTTATAAATATTTTGAATAAAACAATAACAAGGTTAATAGTATTAAATATTTTTGCAGGAGGTTGAATGGGGAGGAACCAACATGATCGAAGCAGAACGTCGGCTACTCGCCAACGCCCTCCTCGACATTTCCAATCAGCGATTCGTCCTCCTCTCAGAATCCGGAATCCCACTTTTCAACTTCACCACCACCTACTCCTACCTCGTCAATTCCTCCAAATCCTTCGTCGAAGTCTACGATCAGCTCGGCCCCGTCGGCCGCGGCCGCTACTCCCGCCGCATGCGGCCCATAATCAACCTCCATCAATGGCGCAAAGGCTCCCAGTGGTTCGAAATGGACCGTTCCCTCGCCCTCCGCGTCGTCTCCGACACCACCTACTTCCCCCTCTTCCAACATTACTGCAGGGGCAACTGCTACTCCGACGAGCATTACTTACCCACTTTCGTTAGCATCAAATTCTGGGAAATGAACTCTAATAGGACCTTGATGTGGACTGACTGGTCTCGGGGAGGGCCTCACCCGACCCGATATCAGCGATGGAGGGTGACGACGGAGCTTTTGCAGAGGCTGAGAAATAGCGGCGGCGATTGCGAGTATAATGGTGGGAAGACGAATATTTGCTTCTTGTTCGCTAGGAAGTTTGACCCGAATAGTTTGAACAGGCTTTTGGTGTTTGCTCCCAGGGTCATGCACTTTTAGTTTTCTACACAAAAATCCTTTCGTCATCTGTGTGTGCATTATTACAGAGTTCGCTCTTTTTTCTTTTTTTTTTTTGAAAATTAATTTATATAATTATATAATATAATATATAGATGAGATGTTGTTTGTTAATAAAAATTTGAAGAACAATGATATTCGATTGTGTAAACTTGAATATATTTGACACGATGTAATTCTTTTTTACGTTTATTTTTTTTTTTCCTTTCTTATATATCTCACGTGGCATGGTACGATTGCAATTTTCTTTTATCTCATATAAGAGTAGAAAAAAAATGAACAAACGTTTTAGATATGATATATATATATATATATATATATATGTGTGTGTGTGTGTGTGTGTGAGTGCGTGTAAGTATAGGACATGATTTTTTTTGGGCTCTCACGGGCCTGAAAGTTAGTAAGAGGCTTTTTTCCTGAGTTGAATTGGACCCATTGAAAGTGGGCCTTTATATAAACATGGGCCGGCAATTTTAAGTAAAATAGGCCCACCAAGAGGACTAACTAATTTAAGAGGTTCAAAATATGAAAATTTTGTATAATCAGAAATATAATATTTGAAAATATAATGATTATTATGTATTTTTTTTAAAGAATTATCTCAGTTGAATTTTAATTTTAATAATTAAATTTTAATTATTTTGCAAAATTATTATTTTTATTAACTAAATTTAACAAGTTAACAGCAAATTATTACCATAATGACTTGATTGATTTATATATAAAAAATTTATTGTTATTAAAAATAGATTTTAATTATATTTTCCAATACCCAATTTGTAGACTTAAAAATGATTATTATTAATTATTATTATTTTATTTAAAAGAAAAAGATAAAAGAGTTTGGTAATGTGTGGAACACAAGCGGGGACCCACATCAAACAGAGCCTTCCCAGAAATGAACTACTTGACCTTACATTCTATTACACATTAACACCTAAAATGGTGAAAGCTTTATTATCCCAAATTTTGATTTTTGATTTTTTATTTTTTTTATTTTTATAAAATATAATTATGGTATAAAAATTACAATAGTTTAATATTTTTGTTAAAAGTAATTGTAAAAGACAAAAGAATTTTCTTTTAAAAATAATTTTATATAAATAGAAATAGAAATAGAAAATAGGGGGTTTGACTTTAAAGTAAGTTGACGTCAAAGTCATATCGCCCTCGCAGTCCCACTTCTCATCTACTGTTCCATATTTACGCGGCTGCTTCCTTTGCTATTCGAAGAAGCTTCTTCTTTAAAATATAAAAATTAAACTCTTGAAATTTCCCTTTATATACAAACCAGCCATCAACAAGCATATCTCTAACCCTAACATTCTCTTCCCACTACTGCTTTCATTTGCAATTTACTCGTTTCTGAACACAGAAAAAAATGGCTGCCAAACGGTTCCTTGAGCAACCGGATTCCGACCCGGATCAACCAAACGACAAACGGATCCGAACTAGACCCTCTTTTGCTTCGTATGTGTTCCTCATCATCATCTTACTTTCTTTATGCTTTTCCTTTATCTTCTTTTACATATCTAGAATAGATCCTTATGTGCGTCTTTATATATATATATATATATATTAGCTTAACCCTTTCCTTCTTTGATTTGTATTCTCATGCAGTGTGATTGGCGAAGTGGTTATGATAAAGTCCTTGCAGAACTTGTGCTCAGCCCTGGAGCCTCTGCTCAGAAGAGTGGTGAGTCATATATAGCACATCCTTGTTGATCGTCATCCTTCTCGATTACAGTTTTCTATACATAATACTTATATGTATGTGTATATATATAGATTCGTATATACTTCTTATGCTGCTTTAAACACATACACGTTCAACAACGGTGATCATCATAGTCCAAGTTGATTATAAATGCACCCTTTTCTTATCAGACCAAGTCTTTGTTATACTTATCAGGATCCTTCTTTAGTTATATGCATGTGCTTGTGTATATATATTATATATGATACATATATAAGCAAGTAGCTAGTTATGTCTTTATATTTTATGAGAAAACCTCCGCAAGTAGCTATATATATATGTATATCTATATGTGTAATACAAGTTTATATGCAAGTAGTTATATAAATTAATTCATAATCTCTAGCACTAAACATCAATCATCCATCCTGAGGTTAATAACAAATTGATACAAACCATATGTAAACTTTATCATATGAGCATGATAAAACTACGTATATACATAGCTGGTTAACAATGTAATAGAAAGATCATATTGATCATCTTATAAATTTCTTATTTACAGGTAACTGAAGAGATAGACCGTGGACTAAGACAGAAGTTCAGGTGTTTAACAAGATCACCTTCACTTCTTCTTGATGCTCCGGCGCCTGAACCTTCAACTCTGCAACTCATGTTCAGCAAGAAGCTTTCAGTACCAATCTTTACCGGCAGCAAAATCGTCGACCAGGACAACAATCCCCTTCAAATTATTCTCGTCGACAAGCGAGGAGACTACATGATTCCCACGGCTCCCATCAAGGTAGAGATCGTTGTTCTCGACGGCGACTTCCCTCCCGCCGACCGGGAAAACTGGACAACCCAAGAATTCAATAACAATATCGTGAAAGAGAGAACCGGCAAGCGTCCGTTACTCACCGGAGACCTGAACATCACCGTCAGAGACGGGATTGCGGCCGTCGGAGATATTGAGTTCACTGATAACTCCAGCTGGATTCGGAGCAGGAAGTTCAGGATTGGAGTCAAGGTTGCTCATGGCAGCTTTGAGGGTGTTCGGATTCGGGAAGGCATGACGGAACCATTCGTCGTCAAAGATCACCGTGGAGAATGTAAGTATTTTCAGTTGTTACTTGGTTTTCAAGTTATATATATATATATATTTTAATTTTCTTCCCACAAGATATATTATTATATTTTATAAAATATACTAACAAAATTAAGTTGATAGAAATGGGTTCATTTAAAAAAAAATTGTGTTGCATACTTAGAGTAATTGCCTATAATTTGATTAATTAATTACAAATTAGCATACATAAATATTATATACACATTCCTTACAAGTTCGTACAAACCATATGCTATACTTGTTGTGCTTGAATTTAGACTATACATTTTTATAATAACAATGTTATACTCATTGTATTTCGTGTTGGGTTGGGAGAAAAATCCCAATCATATACTTTTATTAAAAAAATATTTTCATCTTTCTTTTCCTCAAGTTTTGAATTTTTGGATTTCTTAATTATTAATAGAAATACCAAAATGATATATAGTTACTATATAATGCATTAAACATATGTTTTTTTTTTAAAAAATTTATTAGAGTCGTGAGAATTAAATTATAATTACTTGGTATTTTTGATAACAAAAGTTCAACATTTCAAGATGTGATGGTCCACTTTCTTAATAATTTATAAGAATATTATTTGTCTTTGAACTAATTCAATATTACTTTCCAGTCAAAATTCAAACTGATTCATACATTACACGGTAGGTGGCTAAAAATTTGTCTATATATGTTTAAAGAGTATGCTAGTTTTGCAACATGTATAAAATTTTTGTTAACATTATTTTTAAAACGTATAAATTAGCGTTCGTCGCACTAAAGAAAATTTTAATTATGTAGATAAATCAGATTAATTATATATATATATATATAGTATTTTTATTTTATTTTATTTTATTTTTAATTTAATTATTAATATGTAGCCCTCTAGTATCTATATCTAAAGTCTTTTGGGTCAACGATTTATAATTTTTTTGTTTGTGGCGCAAGCTTTTTTCAAGCTATTTTATATGAACATACAAAATATACGCACCACTCATTTTAATGGGTTTTTTTTTTTTCTTAAATCAAGTCAAACCTATGATTTGGTTGGTGGGTTGGGTTAGATTTTTTGATTAAATATATTACTAAAATTGTAATAATAAAATAAAAATGGAAATTTAATATATAAATAATTGATAATTAATTTTTTCTTCTGGGTTTATCTAAATAACGTCAAGTGTACAAGAAACATCACCCACCGATGTTGGAAGATGAAGTATGGCGGCTAGAAAAGATCGGAAAAGATGGAGCTTTCCACAAGAAGTTGGCTTCTGAAGGCGTTAACACAGTGCAGGACTTCCTCAAACTATCCGTCATTGATCCTGGAAAACTCAGAGCAGTATGTGCCCAACACTTTTAATTTATGCCTCTCGGGTTTAATTATTTCATATCCAATCATATCTTTAATTAATCTAAATTTGTAGTTACTAATTAAATTAAACAGATTTTGGGAGCCGGAATGTCAGATAAAATGTGGGAGGTGACGATAAAGCATGGGAGAGAATGTTTGATGGGTAACAAATGTTACATTCTTCGTGGTCACAATTACACCGTCATGCTAAATCCTATTTGTCAATTGATTTCTGCTGTCATTAATGGACAAACCTACAACGGCAGCCGAGATATGTCTTCTGTTACCAGGGTATGTTGATCATTGATTTAGGGATTAATTAATTAATTAATTAAACACGAAGATTTATCTTAATTATAATTAGCAACATGTTAATTAATTAATCTTTGAGTTTTTTTTTTTTTTTTTCTCTTTCTGGAACATGCAGTCTTATATTGAGAACTTGGTTAGACAAGCGTACGCTCAATGGTGGTCTTTGGAAGTTGTTGATGGTGTTTATAATGACATTCCTCTCCTCACACAAGGTACTTCCGAATGTTTTAACCTAATTTCGTGCACATCTTTACTTTAGAAATTAATTTAATAATTTATATTAAATTATAAACTCATTGCAATCATATTCATTACTTGGAGAGTAAAGAGTACATTATCAAAATATATATATATATATGTCAATTTATAGAAATATTTCTATTGGGAAATTACAATATATAACTATTGTTAATTAAAATATGAAGGTGACATGGTGGATCAATACCCAAATCATCACCATCATCATCAAAGTAATGGCAATTCAGATCATCACGGGAGCTACTGAGCAACAATGCCCAGATAGTAGGAAGCAACGATAGTGAGGATTGGGAGATGAGGTCAAGTAGTGGACATTTCAACACATCCCAAGTTGAAGTTGGAACACTTAGCTTCACCATCACTCGGTCATCATCAAATGCTGAATTAACATATCCAGGATCCTTCATCAATGTAATTTGATGTATTAGCTTTTTCATCTTCCCTTTATTTTCATGTGTGTTTGTACAAATGTATATTGTCGAAACTTAAAAAGAGTAAAATAAGAATAAATTCGAGGAGAAAAGAAAAAAAATAAATACTAATATGAATTTTGAGTCAACTAGTCATGTCTACAAATATTCAAACAATGTTTAGATTTAAGTCAAATAAATGAAAATGGTAGTCCATGAAGTTGACATATAAACAAGATTTATATTTAGTATTTTCAAAAAAATATATAAGAAAATCTTATATAAGCAATGAATAATGTCCAAGACTACTACACTAAAGGCCAAATCCTTCATCTTAGTAGAATTCATAAGCAGCATTTGCAAACAAGGCTTGGTAATGTTTTGTAGAGAAAACTTTATGTTGCTTCAACTGGTGTTGATCATGCATCACCTCACCTACTCAAATTGTCTTCCAAATCAAAAAGTAAAACAACGCAACATTTTAAGTTATCGGTTAGTCTCCTGGTCAATAAAAAATTAAAATTAAAACATGAAACACATAAAACATTATGGAGAACAAATTGCTCGTGATATTTCATAGTTCTAACATGGAAAAATTTAACTTTATCGCTATCTAGTAAGACAATAGTAGAGGTAATATCTATTATATTACTTTTTCGTACATATGGTATAGACACAATGTGATATGAGGTACACTAGTATCAATAATCCAATGAGTCATTACTTGTTTTTTCAATTCTATTGAATGATCATAAAGACAAAGAGACATATCAGAGCCAAAAACATTGTGGTCTTAATAGAAAGTAGAGGATGATTATACCAAGTATTTAGAGGACGATTGTATCAAGTGTTTCAAGGAATGGTTATAGAAGATTTGAATGAGAATATATTAAGATTTGATGAAGAACGATTTGAATGAGAATATATTAAGATCTAAACAGATCGAGAAGGGAAAAGATAAAAAATCATAGAGAAGATAAGCGATGGTTTTGAGGAAACTCTTATCGAATTTTTTTTTTCTTTATTTTTATTGATGACGAGTGAAAAAAAAAGTATTTATATAAATATATAAGAGTTGAACATGCACACCACGTATCACGTACTATTTAGCCTTAATCTTGTACAAACACATATATATGTCCACATACACACACACAAAAATTCCACATGCATACACATAGGTGCAAGATTCTTATAGGGCTCCACAACTTACATTATTTGCCACAAAAATGAGTATTAGGACCATGTTATTGGAGTTATTTGAGGTGGATATGAACATAAAATTTTCCTTCAACTGCATAGTGTCTCCGCCATCTGTGTCGTGTATTCCTTGTTTGAGGACGTTTAATGGCAGTTAAGTTAAAAATAAAGGACTTAAGAGAAATGTAAAATGGGAATTGTATTAATCCCAAATAACTGGACAATTCACAATCTTTCTGTTTTTTTTTTTTTGTGTATTTCTGAAGAAGAATACATCAACAAGATTTATAGGAAGAGAAAGGGGTGAGCTGGTCAGCCATAATTGATAGGTAGGGAATATGTCAGCATATTCTGGTATTCTGGTATGAAAATGGGTTGGAAGCATGCCAGTAAATTCAATCGAATACCAGAATTTGTTACAAGAGAAAATTATCCTGCACTTTGTAGAGACAGGGTCTATGGACTGATTGCGAATTGCGGGCTGCGGGTTGCTTTGCATTACAACTTCATTCCTTTTATCCCCCCTCAAACTTGGCAGTGCTAGTGGTCGGTGCACAATGCCAAGTTTGCGGCAAAAGAACAACAACTGTGTTTGAGTTAAAGCTTTGGTGAGGCAATCGACTAATTGATCGTATGAAGGAACATATCAGACATCGAGCTCTTTTTTTGTTACCTTGTCTCGGATGAAGTGGACATTAACTTCTATGTGTTTGGTCCATGAGTGAAAAATAGGGTTACTGGCAAGTGCATTGGCACTGACATTATCACACTAGGCAGTTGACGTTTGTGGTAGGGGAAAACAAATTTCCTTCAACAGGGACTCTAGCCAACTGATTTCACAAAATAAATTGGCCAATGATCGAAACTCTGATTCAACACTGGAGCGGAACACAACACTTCGCTTTTTCGAACTCCATGATACCAAAGTATCTCCAAGAAATACACAATACCCAGCTGTAGATTTACGGTCTTCCCTTGCGCAAGCCCAATCAGCGTCTGAGAAGCCTGTAATTGTTAACTTTTCATATGGTTTGATATGTAATCCCACTTCTGATGTTCCCTTTAAATATCATAGTATACGTTTGATGGCCTTTAGATGTTGATTGGTGGGTGCTTGTATGAATTGACTCAATTTATTTACAATGAAAGCAACGTCAGGTCTAGTGTGCGTAAGATAATGAAGGGCCCCTATAATTTGTCTGTGGGGAGTTGGATTCAGCAAGGGCTTGCCAAAGATTCCAAACAACAAATTTTTAGTTGTGGCATGAGTAGGACAGGGCTTTGTAAGGAACATGTTATGCCTTTTTAGTAGCTCAATGATATAGCTTGTCTGAGTTAGGTATATGCCATTTTCATTACGTGTAGCCTCAATGCCGAGGAAAAGATGCAAACTTCCTAGATCTTTGAGAGCAAATATATTGTGAAGTTAATTAATGAACTCCTGTATTTGATCATCTCGATTTTTTGTTATTATAATGTCATCAATATATATGAGAATGAAAATGAGGTACTCATAAGTAGAAGACTAGCAGTAGTTATTAGCCTGATTTAACATTATGTGCTAATTTGTGTAATTTTAGATTTTTGTGTTTTAGTTATTTAATATAAAACGAAACCTCTGAAAATCTTAATGCTCACTCTCGACATTGCCTTAACAGAGAAGGGGGAGGCGCCACCTTACCCGGAAGTGAATCGATCCACAAAAAAAGTCAAGATAAGGCTAGAGGAGAATCACTCTCTGATACCTGATGAGAAATTATTGATGGAGGAAGTGATGGTGGAAGGAGATATAGAAACGGAGGAGGTGTCACTTTGCCTAGAAGCGAGCCGCTCAAGGAGGAATGGTGCGACCCAACCTAGTGCTTACTGCCTTGCGTTTGAGGCAGGCGAATAGGTTCTAGATTGAACACTACAGAAGGAGCTTCGAAAACAGGGGCGGTGGTGCCCTGTTCTGGTATGAGCCCATCTGTGACCTAAAGTGCGATCCGACTGAGCGCGATGCAAGGTATGGTTGCTGAGGATGAACATATGCTAGAGGCAATGCTGACTGAAGGTGATTTGAAAATAAAGGTAGGTTTGCCTTGCTCTAGTGCGACCCGATCGAAAACTCATGCCGCATTCTGACCTGGTGCTGAAAAATCGTCCTCTGAGGATGAATATATGTTTGATGCTGTGATTGGGGATGGGGTCTATGGAACGAGCGAGGAGGTAATGAGCTTTAGTCACATGATTGTTGAGCAACTGCAAACCCAACATCCAGTGAAACATCTTTTGCCGTAGGGGACACTGAATGTGAAAATCTCCTTTAAAGATAAACTCATCAATAGTCATCAGGCTGCTAACAATCAGGATGAAATCGAGATCAGGAATGAGAATATTAAGTTCGATATTGAGAATGGAATGCTGAGAACTAATTTTTCTGATAAGATGCACAATCTCCTAGCACAAACTATGAAACTTTCAGTAATTATTCAATTACTTGAAATGCTGATTGGTTATAAAATATTTTGGACAAAACTTCATAGCCTGTGGAAGCCTAATGATCGACTACATCTAATTGACCTTGATAATGACTACTATATGGTTAAATTCTAGTTGACAGAGGACTACCTGCACGTTTTTATGGATGACCCTTGGGTTATATATAGCCACTACCTCACTGTGAAGTCCTGGTCCCCTAGTTTCTCTTTGGAAATTCAGATGTTATAAATGCCATGGCATGGGTGCGATTTCCTAGTCTCTCCATCCACTATTACCCTAAGAGCGTGCTTAGAGCTATCCTCAAGGTAATAGGAAAGGTGTTTCGTATTGACTATAATACAGAATCCACTGAACGAGGCAAGTTTACCCAATTGACGGTTGATATTGATATGACCAAATCACTCATCTCTAAATTCATGCTTGATGGGCGCCTACAGATGGGGGGAAGATGAGGGCTTACCAACCATATGCTTTGATTGTGGAGTATATGGGCACCTTAAAGATCAGTGCAAGAAGAATGCTGAGGTAGGAATTGATTCAGTCAAGAGTGGGAGCACAATTCCTAGTGAGTAGGATAAAGTAGTAGTGCTGGATGAGAATTACGGTCCCTATATGTAGGTCCAACGCTAGGGAAGGAAAACTCGAAAGAAAAGGCCCTAGTTTATTAGTCAAAGACGCAGATAGTCCAATAGAGAATAATAACGATAGATCGAGGTTTAGTATGATTGCGGATATAGAGGGAGTTTTAAAATGATCAAATTGGCTGGTGGTGAAAAATCCTAAACAGGTGAAGGTATCAAATTAAAGGCAACCCCTAAGGAATAAAGGAAAAATGCCGATGGTGGAAGGTAATGGTCTAAATACGATGGATGTCTTCCCTAAAATTAGAGACTCTGCCATGCCAGTCAATACTAAACCCACCAATAGACGTATGATCCCCATGAATAGTATGGTCGGAGAAACTAGCGAGACAAAGGGATGCATCAACCCACGTGGCGGAGGGAGAACTCTCAATGAGAAGATTGTAATAAGTCAGGGTACTATTACGCTAGAACCTTCAAAGAATACAGTTATAATAATTGAATGTAGGGCGGACCAAAACCACGAACACAATCGGGTCTCCTGCCCTTGCCCCATGTCACCAACGATCTCTTTGAGGAATCTCTTTAAGTCGGTAGCCAAGCCGCCAAATAGACTTAGTATCAGTAAATACATAAAAGTCAATAAAACCTTTAAAAAACAAGTCAATGCCAAAAAGAAGGAACGAAACACCTACAATCACTTCATCCGTTACCATCAACCCCCTTATGTCCAAACTCCAAGAGTTTGTCAATGAGGATGTAAGTCTTGTTTCGTGCATAGTTGATGTCCTTCAGAAGGAGCAAACATAGTTTTCTTTCTGAGCTTTAGCTCCTCTCCTCCCTTATTATTATTTTATACATTGTTCATTTTTTATGTGGAATTGTTAGGGTACAACAAAAACTGGTCTTTGTTGTGTTCTTAAGTCTTTTGTGAATATCCACAATCCCGTATTGATGGCTTTGTTGGAGCTTAGGACGACGAGCGAGAAAGCAGATAAAGTGATTAAAAACTTGAGATTCGACTATTATAATGGTTACTAAGCCCAACCTCCTATGGTTTCAGGTCCTCACCTCCAAGTACAAATGGTCTGCCTTGTCGTGGAGCTACAAGCCAATTGGACTGACCTTTCATCTTTGGGAAGATTGCTGGTTAGGAAATCTAGAATTGCTTAAATTTTTGGCTTTTGCATCTATTGAGGAGTAGGATCTCTATAAATGTGTTAGGGACTACGTGGTACTGTCTGGCCAATGGAATTGGGAGATCCTACACCAAGTATTGTCGATAGGTATGCTGCTCCAGATGACATCGGTGCCGATTCCTAAAGAAGATAATATTCTGGTTTCTTGCTATTGAGGTATGACAAGCTCTGGATGCTTCTCGGTTAGCTCGACTTACGTCCTCCTGGAGAGCGATTATTGGAGCATAAAGGATAGAAACTGGAGAGATGTTTGGCACTGGTTAGGTGTCTAGCAAATGCGTACTTTCTTTTAACTGGCTGTTAAGAGAAAGCTTTTGATGAATTAGGAGTGGTACCGACGTCACATGACCTCTATTGTGTAATGCAGTAGCTATGATAGTCTTGTTGAAGACGTGGATCATGTCCTCCGTGAGTGTAGTGTTGCCAAACTGCTGTGGTTGAAAATCAGGTCCGCTGAAGCCCAATAAAATTTTTTACGTGTTATTGTGCATGATTGGTTAGTGTTGAACCTAAAAAATAGTTGTTCCTGGTGCAAGACATTCCAAGATTGGAGAGTGACTTTTGACCTTACTTGTTGGAATTTGTGGAATCATAGAAATAATTTTTTTTCCAGAGAAGTGATAACAGTATCAAAGAGCTAGTTAATGAAGTTTCTCTCATGACTAATTATATTTTTATGCCTAATAATATGAATCTTTTTTTTTTCTAGGTATGACACAGATTTGAAGAAATTATTGTTTGGCATAAACCACCCATGGGTTGCCTGAAGATGAATATTGGTGATACTTATTGTGCTACAGCTAATCTCTCTTGCTGTGGTGGACTTATTAGAAACGAGGATGGTGTTTGCCTAAGAAACTTCAGTAGAAACATTGGTAGTTGTTCTATACTACAGGCCGAACTTTGGGGAGCTTCGATAGTCTTCAACTCGCTTGCAATACTAGGTTTCGTAACATCATTCTGGAAATGGATAGCTCTCTGGCTGTGTAGTTATTCACTAAAGAAGATTACGGTACTAATACACATGCCACCCTCGTTCATGTGATCAAACACTTGCTACTGTAGGATTGATAGGTCCGAATCCAGCATATCTATCACGAAGAGAATAAATATCCTGACTAGTTAGCGGATGATGGATTCTCTCTACAAATAGGTTTCCATCCACATGCTTAAGTACTGGATGATCTCCAATAACTTCTCACTGATGATATCATGGGAGTATCTTGACCCAAAATGTGCATGACGAATTCTTAATTTTTTTAACTTTTACTTTTTCTAATAATAAAAAAATATAAAAAAACTCTCTCTATATATTTATATATGTATTTATTAGTTATTACAATTCGAAATGGACATTTTGTGATGTAGAATATGTTTATCCGAAAGAGAATTGCTTGCTTGTGGGCCATGTAATGAATCAAACGGCAACGATGACAAATTTTAAAATTAAAATAATCATAAATTACAAATTTTATTTATCAAATTAAAAAATAAGATACTAATCATCTTATCAAACTCTAGAATTCACACTTAATTTCTCAGTTGCAAGTGCCGGTGGATTCTCCAAAAATATGTTATATTGATTCTGCACGTTTAAACTTTTATTATAAGAATTAATATTTATTTATTTTAGATTAAGAAATCCCATATTTAGGATTATTATTACACAAATAATGGCTATTAATTTAGTTAAATTGTAATAAAATATCTCTAAAAATATTTAAATTAAAATTAAAAAAAAATAAAGAAAGTATTTTATTATTAAGATAATCCAAATATATACACTTCAAATTTTTGTTTTAATTGTTCCATTTATGTGAGAGTCTGATTATAATTTTTTATTTGGAGTCAGTTTTTATATATTAGAAATTAAATTTAAAAAATGGAGTATTTTACATTGATGAAAATTAATTAAAATACTATTTCTTTTTATGGTCAAATAGAAGTTCATTATTAATTAATAAGTAAAGCTGATTAAATAATGAATCTAATTAATTATATAATTATCTTCTTCTTCTTCTTCTTCATCTTACATAAACACTCTGCTTCCCTCCTCATATTTCCGCCTCTACTCTCTCTCATTTTCTCTCAAATGGGAACCCCTCTCTCTCAATCATCCATTCTCCAATCTCTCATCTCTATAACCCTCTCTCCCTGCCACTCTCAAGAAAACGATCAGTTTTTGAACTGCACTCAACCTCTCGACTGCGGAACAAAACAGGGAAATGTCGCGTCCCCTTTATGGGGAAACACTACATCTTGGGATCACGCTAGCTCTGGTTTCCCTTCTGATATTACCAATCTCACTTTGTCCTACGGCTGCCACGAAGACGATTCGGATTCTTGGCCCTGTGAGTCCGAAGCTGGTGCAAAGAGTAGCCCTCCAAACATGGGATCCTTCTACATGGAAAGTACAGACCCAGTCCATGACAACCACATGAGTGTCCAGCCGGTACGTATTCTCATCATCTTCTTTCTTCCTTGGATTGATCTATTAGCAAAGTTGTCTCTGTTTTTTCTACTATCCATCTCGCCTCATATTTGCTAGAGAATTTCACGTTAAGACATATTGTTTCGTGAACACTATGGTGGTATGCTAATCCAGTGAACTTGGAATTCTTTATTTTTTTCTAAAATTGTTAAGCTGTCCTTTTTTTGATTAAGCCTGTCAGTAGATTCGGTTAAAACAACTATTTTTTCACACGCTTAATTGCTTTGTAGCAAGTGTTGGTGGATTCTCCAATGACATATTCTATTGATTCTCTACATCTAAGATTTTATCACAAGAATTTTAATTCATAAACCCCAAAGTATTTATTTATTTAGTTTGGATTGAGAAAAAATTTCACTTGTAACACGAACAATAGATCGTAATAAAATATTGATTTAATGACATTGGTGTGGAATATAAAATGAAATTAGTTTATTCACAGTTTCTTAGTATTCGGGCCGATACAATTGTGCAGTGAGTCAGTTTGGTTCCTGCATTAATTTTCATGCTTATGTTTGTGTTCTATTAGAATATTTCTTGTTTATGATTCTCATTGTGGCTTTTATGATTAAATACAATTTCTTTTTTCCAGTTAGCAGCGTGCAATTAAACATGAAGATCATTATATCGGTAATTGGTATGATTCTTAACACCAGTTTTACTGCTTTAGTTTACTTTGTTTTTTTTCTTCTTTTTGCCAATCAATCTATATATATATATAACATTGATTGTAGTTAGTATTTTTTATTTTGGAGGAGAGTTTCTTTTTCTTTTAATATGAATTTACTGTTGTAAAATATATTCATTTGTCGTTTTTATGTAACAGTTGGTTTATATGGAATCGGAGTAACATGGTTGGTTTATGTAGAATGGGAGTAACATGATTCACCCGTGTAACTTTGTTTTATAAAAGAAAGAATTCAACACTCACATTAGGCTGTGTGAAGCAGACAAAGAATGATGGATATGTGCAAGCTCCTTCCTTAAAGAGGTATTCATTTTCCGATGTAGAGAAAATGACATCCTCTTTCAATGATGAAAAAGGTCAAGGAGGCTATGGCACTGTTTACAAGGGTAAGCTTCTCGACAATCACCTTGTAGCAGTGAAACTTCTCAACACATCTGAAAGCAGTGAACAAGAACTTATTAATGAAGTTGTCAGCATTAGTACAATATCTCATTTTAATATTGTATTGCTACTTGTCTTCAGTAGCGATTCAGGTAAAAAAACTTTAATTTATGAGTTTATATCTAATAGATCGTTTGAAAATTTCATAAATAAAAGTACTAAACTGAAAATTAAGAGAAATTTGAGTTGTGATAAATTGTATAATATTGCTTTTGGTGTTGCTCGAGGACTTCAATGTTTGCATAATGGGTGCATTACGTAGAACCTATACTTGGATGTCAAGCCTGATACATTCTCCTTGACGAAAGATTTTTTTCAACGATTTCTAATTGTGGATTGACAAAATTTGACTTTATAAAAGAAAGTACTGTAGCGAATTTGGAAAGTACAGGGACAATTGGGTATATGGCACTGGAGCTATTTTGTAGGAATATTGGACCAGTTTCTTGCAAGTGTGATATATACAGCTATGGAATGATGATTTTGGAAATGATTGGAGGAAGAAAAAACACAGATATTAGGGAAAGTCATACAAGTGGAACATATTTTCCTCATTGCATCTACTAGCAAGTAACTAGTGGAGATGAATTTGTGTTATATGGTGTAAGACACATAGAGGAAGCTCAAATTATGAGGAAGATGACAATAGTAGGATTGTGGTGCATACAAGTCAACCCTTTAAATAGGCCTTACATAAATGAAATTATTGAGATGTTGGAAGGACACGCAAATGCTTTGCATATTCCACCACGGCCTTTCTATTCTTCTCCTGAACGACCACCATCACCAACAAATGATTCTATCATATGAGTTATGATCTCAACGTAGTTGTTAATTTCACATTTGACTGTCAAAAACTCAGCTCTTGTGACTTTTGTTTTCTTTGTCTCTATTTTTCTTTTGGTATTGGATAATCTCTTGAGTTTTACTTTTTTATTTATTTATCAAGATTAACTTCTACTTATCAACTACTTGGAATGTAAATTGATATTTTTAATTACCAATCTCTTGCTTCTCTCAAAAACCAAAAAGTTGGATGATATAAAACTTAGTTACTTGTATTAGATGTTGAAAATCTGCTAACCAAATTTAAAGTTCCAGATTTAGGAGAAAGTTGTAGAGGACCACTCTTCAACAACACAACATCAGCTGCTGGAATATCCAATTTACTCTGCTTTTCCTGCATTATATCCCTGATTCTGTGTGCGGATTAGAGATTCCAACACCTCCAGCATTGAAGGTCTCATGTCCTTTTCACTCTGGTAGGCACCGAAATGCCACCTCTTCTACAGCAGTTATCATTTCCCTGATCGTGGAGTCTGATTCAAATCCTAGTGATGAGTCTACAAGCTCGTGCAGCGCATGGTATTGGATCTTGTTGATTGCCAAGTTAGACAGGTTGATCTCATGCCGATGCCTGGTGATGTCAACAGCTGGCAAGGAGGATATTAGCTCAATCAAGACCACGCCATAGCTAAACACATCTCTCTGAGCTGGTAGCATTGGTGGTAATAGGGATCAACATACCCAGGTGTCCCTTGTGAAGGTGTGGAAACGTGAGTGACATCTGTTGGAAAGAGATGCGAAAGTCCAAAATCTGCAACTTTGACGGAAAAATTATTTTATAGGAGGATGTTGTTGGTTTTTACATCACGGTGGATGATTTCAGTGGCATGAAGATATGCCAATGCACTTGCAGTCTCAATTGCAATCTTCAGTCGGATAGGCCATGGAAGTGCACCAGGCTTAGCACGTTCACCATGAAGATGATGTTGATGCTGACTATTACAGTGGACTCCAGTAGTGATGGAAACAGCAGTGGTGAACCTGAAAAATGCTTAAAATTTACTAAGAAGCATCGTAGCCCGCATCATAAAGGAAATGAGGTTTCTTTTGGAATGAGTTGTTTGTCTGTAAGTGATGAAAACAGTACCGTATAAGAAAGCATTTCCAGTGATGCTGGAGGTTCTCCAGGTCAATTGTTGTTTGAGTTTCTTGAGCGTAATACCCCTTATAGCCGCGATCCTTTAGCTGACAAGCTAGTTATTGCCATCACATATTCTATTTTATTAAGTTTTCGGCTTGACTACTGTATTACTGCCTTATTCATCTGTTGCATGGTAAGGATATTGCGATCTCTATGGTACAACCGTTTATTTCTTACAAACATGCTTTTTCTTTCATGAAAATTTTGCAGAATACCAACTGGCCCAACATTAAAAGATTTGGATGCTTGCCTTCTAACTTATCATTGCCTTTCCACTCCTATGAAAGGTAACCCTGGCTTACGATTATTTTGATATATTGGGCCATTGGCTATGCATGAACACATCCAAAATGCTCAAATGCTTATTCGAATGCGATTTTGTCATGTGCCTCTTTTTATTTTACTTTTAAAATCATATACTCAACCTTGGCATGTAAGATGGACGATTACTTTGGACCTGTGCATGCTGCTAGAAAAAAAATATATTGAGAAATAACTAAATAGTAACAATAAGATAACAATTAAAAATAGATAATTAATTATTTTTTTGGGTTTATGTAAAATAATGTGAAGCTTACCAGAAACGACACCCACCGAGGTTGGAAGACCAAGTGTGGCGGCTAGGAAAGATGGAGGTTTCCACAAGAAGTTGGCTTGAAGGCATTAACACAGTGCACGATCCTGGAAAACTCAGAGCAGTATGTACCCAAAACTTAATTTATGCCTCTTGGATTTAATTATTTAATATGCAATTATATGGTTAATTAATTAAAATTATAGTAATTAATCAAATTAAATTGAATTGAACAGATTTTAGAGGCGAGAATGTCAGATAAAATGTGGGAAATGACAATAAAACATGCGAGAGAATGTTTAGATTTCTGTATTTAAGTTATTTAATATAAAAAATATGTCTAAATGTATATACCTATTAAATAAAATAAGAAACCATTCTTGTCGGCTACTTAAAACTTGAGTTGGATAAAGCAGCCAAATTAATATCCATCGCCCTCTCCCTGTGCCACTGTCAAGAAAACGAGCAGTTCTTGAACTGCAGTCAACCTTTCGAATGCGGAACAAGACAGGACAATGTCGGGTGTCCTTTCTGGGAAAACAACAAGCCAAAGTTCTGCGGGCTCGAGGGGTACGAGGTCAAGTGCCTGTTAAACCAGCGGACTGTCATGGATGCGAGGATCAAAGGTTTTGAGTTCTTAACGTTGATCGTTCTCTTCAAGTATTAAGCATTTCAAGAATGGACCTCGCAGATGATGTTTGTAACCCAGAAATATTGCTCAACACTACTTCAGCTTTGAATCACACTCGCTTTCGTTTCCCTTCTGATATTCACAATCTCAGTTGTCCTACGGCTGCGATGAAGACCATCCGAATTCTCGGCTCTGTACGTCCGGAACTGGTGTAAGGAGAAGACATTTTTTATCTGTAACGAGCAATTCCCAGACGATTCACCTCCAAACATGGGATCCTGCAACCCGCAAATCATAGTCCCAGTCCCTTCCTCGGGCCTTAAAGATCTTTTTGAGAATAGAATTGGACTGCAAGAGGCAATTAGAAGAGGGTTTAATGTAGAATATGTTTATCCGAAAGAGACCTGCTCTGCTTGCGAGTGATCCAATGGATTCTGCGGCAGCAACGACGACCAAAACTTCGTCTGTTTCTGTCCCGGTGGACCTCAACCAGATAGGTGTCCAGGCGGTACGTACACTCACCATCTTCTTTCTAATTCTTCTTGGATTACTCCATGAGAAAAACTGTCTCCATTTCTTCTTTGCGAAAGAATTTCATGGTTAAGCTATGTTATACATAGTTCATAGTTGCAGAACCAGAAAGCTTAATACATATGACGTTTTGCTTCAAGTATCCAGAATCTGATGCACGCCATTCTCAGGATTTTGGTAGAAATCGAAGTTTAGACAATTCCCAATCAGGGCAGAACACATTAACATCCCAGATCAAATAATAGCGCAGATTTTAGGGGTTAGGAATTTTACTTCATACTCAGAAAACCTTACTACAAATCATTGCATGAATCGGAGTTTCCAGATTTTTGGAATCAGGAAATCGATGATTTCAGTAGTTACCAATTTCTCTTCGTCTTCTGTTGATATTTTAGCTTCGTTGATGGGTCAAGGTACATTTTATGATTAAGGCAATTTTGGAATATGAATGATTTATTATTTGCTTTATAATTGGATTTATCTAAAATGTGCCCGTCAAATCTGAAAATTAAAAAAATATAATATTCTGACTACCCGTAAAAAAATTTCTTTTTCTTTTATTTAAATTTCTTATAATAAAATATATTCATCTATTGTTTTAATGTAACAATTAGTTTATGTGAAATTAGAATAACATTGTTTACCTGTATAATTTTTTGTTATAAAAGAGAGAACTTATCAATCACATCATGTTGTGTGAAGCAAAACACAAATGATGAACATATGAAATATTTTATTAGAACTCATGGAGTTCTTTTCTTAAAAAAGTATCCATTTTCAGATGTAAAGAAAATGACATCTTTTTTCAAAGATAAATTAGGTCAAAGAGATTATGGTAGTGTTTATAAAGGTAAGCTACCAGACAGTCGCTTGTAGCTGTGAAACTTCTCAAACACATCCGAAGGTAACAGACAAGAATTCATTAATGAAGTTGCCAGCATCAACAGAACATCTCATGTTAATATTGTATCACTACTTGGCTTCTGTTGCGATCGAGGTAAAAGAGCTCTAATTTATGAGTTTTTATCTAATGGATCTCTTGAGAAATTCATACATAATAATACTGAATTAAAAGTTATGAGAAATTTAGATTGTGATAAATTATACAAAATTGTTATTGGAATTGCTCGAGGACTCAGATACTTACATAACAGGTGCCTCACGAGGATTCTACACTTGGATATTAAGTCTCACAGTATTCTTCTTAACCAAGTTATATAATCGATAATATCATTTGCACAGAAATTCAATAACACAATGAATTTTTCTCGGGGGTTCAGGATCCTCCCCCCCCACATTGGTGACCAATGGAAAAAAAAAATATTGCATTTAGTTGTATAAATTAGAAAAATAATTAAAATTTAAAATTTTCTAATTTATTTTATCATTATTTGAACATTTTAAATTGGAACAAAATTATACAGAAACCATTTGTGGGCCTCGCTTTTGAATGGACCTTTGTTTGTGGGCTTTTATGGCCCAAAGTACACTGCAAATTTCTCTTTGTTAAACTAGAAGCATTATATGACTTCAATTCCTTAAACCCACAGTTTCATATTTTCCAAATCTCATCCTTCTCACCGCCTTAATTTCCTCGATAATGGAAATCCATCTCTCTCAATCATCAATTCTCCGATCTTTCATCTCCATCTTCCTCATCTCTATCACCCTCTCGTCGTGCCATGTCGAGTGCATGTTAAACCAGCGGACTGTCAAGGATGCGAAAGATCAAAGGTTTCGAGTTCTTAAAGGTATTATGTGTGTAAATTAGTATGTATTATATATGTAAATTTACATATACACGTCTATATACATATCGTTCTCTTCAAGCACTGGATCTTGCAGATGATATTATCGATTCGGATTGTTGGCCCTGTGAGTCCGAAACTGGTGCAAGGAGTAGTCATGTTTATTACGATAACGAGCAAATTCCCAGGCGATTCATCTCCAGAAATCGGATCCTGCTATCTGCAAGAGGCAATGCGCCGAAGGTTTTGTACTAAGGAATACGTTTATCCGAAAGAAAACTGCCCTGCTTGTGAGCCATGCAATGGATCCAGTGGTAGCGATGACAAACCAAAATTTCGTTCCCGGTGGTACGAACGCTCATCTTCTTTATTCTTCGTTGAATTTCTCTATTAGCAAAGATGTCTCTGTTTCTTCTGTTAAGGCAAGAAATTTCATGGTTAACACTCATCTCGCTTCATATTTGCTAGAGAATTTCACGTTAAGGCATTTTGTTTCAGGAACACTATGATGGTCTGCAAATCCAGTGAGCTGGGAATTCTTCATTTTTATAGAACTGTTGAAGTTATGATGAGCTGTGAGCTTATGAGTTACAGATAAATAATGATCAGAAAAGAGAGTACAGATGAAGAAGTAATAAACCCAAGAAAATAGTCAGTGCCCGAAACCTTCTAAAGAAAACTTTGTTAAACTACGTGTTGATCGAAAGCGAAAATAAGCTTCAAGGGAAGCTCTGTGATTGAACAAACCTAGAGAGAGAAGGTTGAAGAGAGAGAGGGCAGCAAAACATAGCAAGCTTATGTAGCTGCCTCTGTTTTACTGTTCTGCAGAGACATGTTTTTGCTGGAGAGAAGAAGTGTTTTTTTCTTTTTTATTTCAGCATATATATATAAGCAATACAAATTTAAACTGATTACATCAACCAACCGATCAAATCAAATCATCATAAAATCATGCATGCACATCGCATGAAATTTACGTATCCTACTGTGATTCAACTTCACGGTGGATTTCATTTTTTGAATTTAAACTTTAATAGAAAAAATCATTAATTTTAACACTACGTGTAAAAATTTTTTTCTTCAGCTACTAAATTATCAAGTTGTGCATGCACAGGGAATAGAACATGATGGGAAAATAGCTAGGTCCATTATGATGTTATTTGCGTTAAAACTATGTCTATCCATTAGATTTATGGATTCTTTTTTTAACGAAGAGCTTTATTGACGACACCAAAGACATCCATAAAGAAAAGAAGAATTAACTAATCGGATAAAGAATCACTAGCAAACATGAAGATCATTGTATACGTTAATCTGCATGCTCATGTTTGTTTTTTATTAATCTGTTTCTTGTTTACAGTTCTCAATTTGACATCCATGATTAAATATTATATATTTTAGCAGTTACCAGCAGGTGGTTGAACATGAAGATCATTATGTCTTTAATTGGTACGCTTCTCAACACAAGTTTACTAGCAAAACTCCCGCTGCCTTAGTTTACTTTGCCAAACAATCTATATATATGGATAGACTTGATTGTAGTTTTAATCTAAAAAGAGAGTTTTCTTTTCTATAACATATATCTATCTATTGCTTTTATATAACAGTTAGTTTCTGTGGACTCGGAATAACATAGTTCACCTGTATAATTTTGCCTTATAAAAGAAAGAACTATGTAGAGTGGAGCAAAAATGATGAATATGTAGAATGTCCCATCTGAATTTACAAAACTTTTTCCTTAAAAAAGTATCCCTTTTCGGATGTAAAGAAAATGACATCCTCTTTCGATGATAAATTAGGTTAAGGTAGCTATGGTTGTGCTTATAAAAGTAAGTTACCCAAGGATCACCTTGTGATGAACAAGAATTCATTGATGAAGTCATCAATATTAGTATGACATCTTATGTTAATATTATATCACTATTTAGTTTCCGCTGTGATCGAAATAAAAGAACTTTAATTTATGAGTTTATGCCCAACGAATCTCTTGAAAAATTCATATATAACAATATTGAACTGAAGACTTTGGAAAATTTAAATTGTGATAAATTATATAAGATTGCTCTTGGGATTGCTCGCAGACTAGAACACTTACATAATGAGTGCATTTCGAGGATTCTACACTTGGATATTAAGCCGGATAACATTTTCCTTTATCAAGATTTTGTTCCTAGGATTTCTAATTCCGGACTAGCAAAAGTTCACTCTAGAAGAGAAAATATTATATAAAGTTTGGAAGCTAGATGGACAATTGGATATATAGCACCAGAACTATTTTGTAGGAATTTTGGACCAATTTCTTGCATGATATATACAACTTTAGAATGATGGTCTTGGACATGGTTGCAGGAAGAAAAAACATAGGTGTCAGGGTAAGCTATACAAGTTAAATATATTTTCCTCACTAGATTTACAAGCATGTAGAGATTGGAAATGAGTTTGTGTTGTATGGTGTATCAAATAAACAAGAAGCAGAAATTATGAGGAAGATGAAAATAGTTAAGTTGTGGGTGCACACAAACCATCCGCAGAATTATGTCCTCACAGTAATTGAGATGTTATAACTTTTATAATTAAACCATCTGCGGATTTATGCACC